ATATATATATATATATATATATATATATATATATATATATATATATATATATATATATATATATTATGTTGATAACATGTTAGTTTTCTTTAAAATGTTGGGGCATGTAAAACAGAATGAAGTACGTTCTTTGCTGATTCCAGGTTGTAGGCATCCTATAATATGATATGAAGTGATACATTATGTATTTATGTTTATGTATGTTTGCATTTTTTAAATCCACTCAACTACTGTATTTAAAACTTAGGATGTCATTAAAGCTGACTTTGTTATTCATGGTAACATTTCAGTTCAATTGGTTCAATTGGACACAGTTCCTATTGGTTTCTTCATTTTTAGATTCTGCCAACCCTGTGATGGGGCTGGTCGGCACAACATAAATATAACAACCAATCTCTTAATTAAAAAAAAAACTGTTTACATGTTATATAGCCTTAACGCTTGTCTATGGCTATATGTTTATAGCCTTAACTTTTCATTTACAGCTGCTTCGAAACCAACTCACCTCGGTCTCCCCCTGCAGGCCCACAAAGTGAAGCAATGTTAACTAAAATGTTCATTGTTATTTTATCTCCTAGCTCTTCTCGAACAACAACCATTTCAGTATCAGGGATACATGGAGCTCATCAAAGTACTAGAGACACAAACAGCATCATTGGTTTCCCCAGCAGAAAACATTTCCGCGTGGGTGGTGGTAGCAAAGTCCTGGAGAAGAGCGCCCTTCAAACTCCCAGACAAGTTGTACGGGTAACTAGTTTGTTTTAACTATGTTTTTGCTGAGATCTGTTGATGAAGAGTGTGGTACGTATACAATATATTCATATTATTAGTAGTAGTGTCCTTTCTACAGGTTTCATGAAGGCCAACATGCCATACTAGAAAAGGCATTTCCTGCTGAAAATGCGTTGGAATGCAAAAAGCTGAAAGCTGCACTGAATATTTGAAAATAGCTGAAAATACAGAAAGTTGAAGGGAATTTGAATACATTTGCTGAAAAGCTGAAATGAATTTGAAATTGCTGAAAATACAGAAATGGGAGAAGCTGAAAGGAATCAATAGATTTGCTGAAAAAGCAGAAATGAAAACAGCTGAAATAAATTTGAAATATTGCAAAAAAATACAGAAATGAATATTAAAAAATTGCTGTTGATAGAGGCATAAGAATAGCTGAAATTATTTTAAAGAACTGCTGAAAATACAGGAAGTGGGGAAGCTGAATTTCAATAGATTTTCTAAAAACAGAAGTTGCAGGAGCTTAAATTTGTTTAAAATTGTTTGTAGTAATATTAGTAGTAGTATTAGTTATAATCGTGGTATTAGTAGTACTAGCAGTATAAGCAGTAATAGTAGGTTTAGTATCAATAGCAGTAGAAACAGCTGGAATACTATTAGCCATAGTAGTATTTGTAATAACATTAGTAGTAGTTTTAGTATTAATAGCAGTAGAAATACTAGTAGTATGGTAGTAGAAGTATCAGTTGTAGTACTAGAAGTACGAGTAATATTCGTAGTGGGAGACAGAATGTTTGTTATTCACACTTAAAAGTTTTTAATTAATAGGCCTCATCACAGACATTACAGTAAAAATTCCCTCCATGGGGCTTTTATTTTGAAATTATTGGATTGGGTGGGGTGGGGGGGAGTAGATAGAGGGAGGGAGGGTGAGAGGGTGAGGAAGGGAGGGGTGGTGAGGAAGAGATAGAGGGAGAGAGAGAGGAGGAGAAATAGACAGACATACTGACTGAGAGTGATTAACAGTGAGCAGAGGTCAGGGTGGAGGGGGGAGGGGGGGCGAGTGTCTTTATCATATTGGTCTGTTGACAGAAAGCATAGCTGCGTCATGTGACTCCACTAATCAGGTCACAAGGAGCAGCTGTGAGTCACAGACAGATCCTGCAGCGTGTGAGTGCTCGTAACCACGACAACGGCGCACCTGGGCTCATTAACGATCTACTGCAAAAAACAGAGACATGGCAGCAAGTTACACAGAATCCACACCTCAAACAAATGGGAACCAGCGCAAAACTATAACAGCTATCTAAAAAATACGGCGTTTGTATGAGACCCAAGACTCTACCGAACGCGTGGATGTGTTTTTATGTCTGTCCGGTAATAAATACGGCTCCTATGGCCGTTTACAAAACGTGTACCTTGTGGATTTTTGTGAGAAATATGTCGGCAGATTTGTATTGGAGCCTATGGGGCTTTTGGCAGAGGTTGTGTCACTCAAACACACCTTGCGCCAAAACTAAAGAACTCTGGGATTCCATTGAACACAATTAATCCAATCAGCACAACCATACCCTCATTAATCTGAAGAAATGAAGCCTCTAGAGTGTATACTTTGGCTGCAAGGACAAAAGTTCCATATTTTTTTAACCAGATTCCTGCGATGCCCCACACTCTAGCCTCGAGCTCTCCACTCTAGCAGACGCAATACACACTCATGTAAAAGTCAGAAACGGAGTGAAGAACTAGTGAAACATAATCAGTGATTATGAAAAAAGTACAATAGATATCAAGAAGCAGTTTTTTTCATAAAATAGTTGAGACTTGTGTCAACATTTGAAAGTTTAAATGGTGTCTGTAGCTGAAAGATTGGGGAAGCTGAAAAGTCTGAAAGTTGAAGAAGTTTAAGGAGGATTTGAAAGCAAACTCCATTTGAAAACCATGTTAAAATATTAATGATTATTGATTTATATAAATTCAAGCTTAAGAGCTAGAAAGCTGAACATACATAGCCCTCAAGCCAGAAAGAAGCTGAATATTTTAAAATTTGAACGGTTTAAATAGCTGAAAATGGGAAGCAGTTGAAAGGTGCCACGGAAGAAATAGAATAAGTTTAATAAAGATTCGAAGAACAATACTTGGAATGCATCTTAATGCATTCCAACTAATTACTGTTGTTGTATATTTTTGGCTGATCATCCTCCTGTTTGCAGGTGTTTGATGAGGAAGACAATGACGTCACTCCTCAGCCACTGTACCAGGCACATCCAGCAGCACCACATGCCAAAAGCTGCAGGTTGTTTCTGGATGAGATCTCAGCCGGATCCGCATCAGACCAGACAACAGCCACCGGGAGCTTCACCATGCCTTTCTCCAGGTGCAGGACTCATTCCTTTACGCATCTCCGACCTGATGGACAAACATCTTAAATCTGAGTGTGTGGATAAGATTACATGAGAAAAAGCAGCTACTTGGTTAAATTTGACATATGTTATTGTTTCCACGGGCAGCCTAATTGAATAAATATTCTATACAAGGATCAATATTATCACCAAGACAAATTCAGATGGTTGATTTACTGATGAAAGATGATTCTGGGCAGGAAAATACTCATTTTCGTCTTTCACTGCCATTCTTTGTGCTGAGCATGTTATCACACAGTACCAACGTATACACATTGTTTTTCAGGTCAATGTTTGGAAGCAGCAGAATATCCAGCCAGTCTACCATAGAGTCCCTGAATGAGGAGATCGAGGATACATTTTCCAAATGGGAAATGCCCATCAGCTTCCCAGGTTCAGAAGGGAATTTGCATTGCTTAATTTCAGCTACATCCTTAATGTTGCCATACGTTAATTCAAACTACATCTACAGATCCTGATTATGATTGAATGTCACATTGACATCTATGGTTTATGTTATGTATTTTGTTTTTTGCTAGATGTGCAGGGGAAAAGAAACACCGTGAAAGAACATGTTGCAAAAGACATGTTGAAAGAGGTCACCGATGTCTACATCTCTGAAGCAGACAGCATCTCACTTCTTGACATACCGAGCACATTAATGTCAGTGGAGGCTGATGACACAGAAGTTATCATGTGAGTGAAGCAGAATAAACCTAATCCATCTATATCAGAATGAGTTTATCCATGTATAACCAAAGGGAGTTCTTACTGTCCAGCAATTGAACAATACACTTTTACATTACAGGTCATTTAGCTGACGCTTTTATCCGAACCAACTTACATTACACTTTAAACCCATGGCCTTTTTACATTTTTGCCCAGGGAGCAATTAGGGGTTAGGTGTCTTTGCTCAGGGACACTTGAGACATGGGGCAGCCGTTCCCAGTGCACCCACTCTACCCCTGCGCCACGACGACCCAATACTTCTCTCTGGTCATCATCTTGTTTTTACAGGGAGAAAAACAATCAGTATGCTGAGCTGTGCAGAACCAGAATGGGCAATAATAAGTATGTGGATCGCGCGGTACAGACATTGAATGGAGCTGCTAAAAACAAACAGGTGCAGAGTGACAGCAATGTGATGGTGGACTCAGGTAAGGGTCATTATTCCCCCTTGGAGATGCTACTTGTCGCTGAAAACAAAGGATGTTAGGAATATAAAATTAGAACCAGTGAACTACTGGTCCACTGCTAGGATCCCCTCGACAACAACAACAACAACAACGTTTAAAAGTTGAATTCTGTGAGAACGATAACTAAGGAGTCTGCTACACACACAGCATGCGGTCGCTCTGCCCGTTGACCTGAATGAAAAAACACTTATGTAAAGGGTTCACAGATCCAGGTATAGCCAGCTGGTAGCATATTCCATATAATCAGCATCAGTGTTCTGACAGCCGTGTAATAAGGATTTACTTTTTGAGCCTCGGCCCTTTGACACAGACACAGACCCAAACCCTGATGTACTGTAAATATGTATCTTTATTATCATAGTATCAAACAACTAAACAGTTAACCCTTCCCCGATAGAGATTATTACAAGGAATAGAATAGATATTGATTATAATTCAACACTTATTATACAAAAAAGTAATGCTACACAGTTTATATCTTGTAAAAGCAAACCAAATCTGAAAGTGTCCACATTTGGGGAGCTAAAACCATTTGATTTTTGCCTGAACAATTCAAAAATCATTTGTCAGTTTATTTCTCATTTAATTTTTGCAACTTTGGATTGAGACGTTGCCTTTCTCAACTGTGGTTGTCTTTTCAGTCGGACAGTCTTTAACATGGTTCCACTCCCACAGCTACAACCGTTACCTCCTGGGACATCTATGACGCTCTGATCCGCCCCGAGCAGCACGAGGAGGTGAGCAGCCGGGAACAAGAGGGGGCTGAATATCCTGGCGCTGCAGTGGACCCCAACAGTGGGGCAGAGAGGAGCGCGTCAGTGGGCAGCACAGCCAGCACAGCCAGCACAGGTATAGGTGTAACCTTTTGACCTCTAGATCTTATTCACATCTTATATTCTTCCTTTCATCCTTCACAGATCAATCCCTGATGTATTTAATTTACGTATTTCTCTTCAGCCAGTGCTGCTAGCTCCTTGAATGACGGGGAAGCGCTTGGGAGCAGTTTAAATACTGAGTCAGACCTGCAGCTGAACGTGCTGTCAGAGACGTTCCAACACTGCTTGCTAGTAATGGAGCGGAGCATCCTGAGAAACACTTTGCAACCCGAGCTGGCTGCTTACAGACAGCTGCCCGTAATTGAAGGTAAATTTCCCAAAAACTAAAGACACAATATACACAAAGGCCTCCCAAACCAAGTGTTCATGGATACTAATAAATAGCTCTTACCACTTGGATGAAGAAATCTATGTTAATGTGATGTTCATGGTAATGGGATGGCTGTAGCTCAGTAGATAGGGCGGGTCTTCCATTAGCCACATGGTTGGCAGTCCAATCCTAGCTGTCCCACTTGTCAGACCCATGTTGCTCCCTTGGATCCTTAAAAGAGCCTCCTGCTCTTATGCAAAGAATGAGAATTCTAAAATAATATTTTATGTATTTATTTTAACGCTGTCAACACAAACGCATTAATCTATGCGATTAATGTGGCCGAATTAATGCAACGAAATATTTTAACGTAGTTAACGTACGTTTGTTTACTTCCGGGAAGTTGACCGCCTAAACAAAACGGCCGCTAGCTGCAGCCAGTTACATCAAGATGTAAGACCTTTTTGCTTTGGATGTAAAACAAACAGACATACAGCCGAGAACTGTGCAGAGGAATTACTCCACGTGTCAAACGGAAGGGTCTGTGAGTGGCAAACGGACCACTTAAAGCACTGCTATGCTAAGCTAGCCGCTAAGCTACTTTCATCTAATGTTACCCTGCGCAGCACACCGTCTGCAGAGGACCACCACTGTGTCCCTAAAAGACTGTGGTTTGAAAACGTCCTGCTAAATGTGGGGAGATTGTCTGGCTGTTGTGTAATTTGCGATTTTGGGCAAAATTTTAAAAATGAATTGCAAAATGAGAGCAAAGTGCATGTGGACAGCAGGAAGAGTCACTACATGTTGCACCAGGTGGAATTCTGCCTCCAAGATGATCAAATGAGTGTAGATTGGTGTTTAAAATAACATTAACAATTAAACAACAGTGTCTAAAATAGACACTTTTTAAATTGTTTTCTCATTACTTTTAAGATGACAACAATATTAGTCACCATTATCTTATTATCTATCTATTTTTTTAGATATTTTTTGTTGTTGTCACAACCAGAGAGTCAGGTGAAGCCTGGGACGGTAGAGAAGAGGCAGGAGGATACAGAGAGCCCCCGATCTCCAGCCGTGGAGCGTCTCTGGGCTTTCAGCTATGAGCGCAGCAGAGGACGCAGCGTCAGCAGCATGGCATGGAACAAGATAAACCCGGTAACGGAGCGGGAATCATGCCTCATCCATTCCACAGCAGATGACAAGATTTTGTTATTGTGTAGGACTTAATTGCAGATTAGTAAAGAATACTTTATTTAAAGAGAAAAATCCAAACAGGTTGCCTAGAGCCAGGAGAAAACCTGTGTGCACCGTAGTGAGGGTCACAAGGAAAAGAGACACTAGCAGAACACTGCATACACAGCAGACAACGCACACTAATCGACAGACTCACCAACCTTCACTGACGAACCAAAAAGGGACCCACATGATTTAAATACACTGGAGAGGTGCAGTCGATTGGACACAGGAAACAATCAGGGACACGGCAGACAATCACAACCACAGTGGAAAAACACACAAGGGCGGGAAGAAAAGTTAACCCGCGGACACGAGAGGCAGGAAACTCCGAAATAAAACAGAAAATGCCCCACACTGTGACATAACAACCATGCGATATAACTGGTGGAAATGAGGGGATAATATCCTTGTGAGAAATCAAAAGTATCTTAAGCTTGTTCGTGATTAAGTATGTGTTACAGACAATCATGTAGAAAAATCATAAAGAATAGAGTTCAGTTGAATAGGGAGTTTCCTACTTCCAGGCGCAAAAACGTCTGACCATTTTGAGGGTGAGAGATTAGAGAGATTTGTGTTGTCCAATTATAAGGACAAACCTGCACATAAAGGAACTGGAGCAGAGACCAGGTGTTGAAGGAAATCACACTTCGACCCTGTCACGGTTTGGGTTCATGTCCTGTTTTATTTAGTAGTTTTTTGCCTCTTGTCTCCCTGGGTAACTTCACTTCCTGCCTTGTCCTGTCATCCCCTGTGATTGTTTGATTGTTTCCACCTGTGTCCAATCACCTGCACCTCCCTAGTGTATCTAAGCAGAGTGTGTCTCTTGTCACTCGATGTCTCATTGTAGATGAACGTCCGGAAGTCCATGTCACAGGTTCCTGACTCTGTGTTAGCCCCTTAGCGTTCTGCTTGTGGAAGTTATGACATATAAAGTCCTTTGTAGTTTCTTGAAAACTCTACGTCTGAGTCCTTAGGTGGTTGCGTCATTCTGTCAAGAAGGTACGTTGGGGAGGGTAGGACTTGGGTGGAAACAATCATGACACAACAATCACAGGGGATGACAGGACAAGGCAGGAAGTGAAGTTACCCAGGGACACAAGAGGCAGAAAACTACAAAATAAAACAGGACATGAACCCAAACCGTGACAGCCCCCCAGTGTGAGGGGCAGAAGGAAAGACAAGGGAAGACTTCCGTTTTTTTCCTCTTGGAAGGGTTTTTTCATTTTTTGGGGAGTTTTTCCTGTGCCGATGGTGGGTTTCGGGACAGAGGATGTCGTATGTGTACAGACTGTAAAGCCCTCTGAAATTTGTGATTTTGGGCTATACAAAATAAAATTAATTGAATTGAAATTAATTGAACAAATGGATCGATCAAGGACACATGTGTTCAAGCTGTAAAAACACTATGCCACCGTAAATTAGTTTAGGTCACAGAGTTCCCAAGAGAACTGAGAGTGCATCAACATCCCCCCAACAGTTAGCTTGTCTTGTTGTTCACCAAAATCACACAAACACACCCTTTCCTCAGTAGTGATTCCTAGACTTCAATTCTATTCAATTTATTTTGTACAGCCCAAAATCACAAGTTATCCTCAGAGAGCTTTACAACATGTCCACCTACGACATCCTCCGCCCGGGAACCTTCATACAGGAAAAACTCCCCACAGAAACACCTCCAACAAGGAGATCCCTCTACCACGGTGGACTGATGCCCGCACCAAAACATACAGTATATTAACAAACTGTCAGACAACAGGTGGAGTAAAATCCAATCCTCAATTATCCATGCTCACTACTTTACAAAAACCTTGTGCATAAACACTCTCAAACTGGCAGGTTAACGCCACAAAAGAAAAATAATGTATTGTTCAAGAAGTCAAGGGAACGCAGTGTGAATAACTATTATACAAATTATCATTTTGTGAGCAAAATATTTTTTTAATGTCACATGTTTTACATGTATTAAAAACAAAGGTCAATGTAAGAGTTTTTTTCTGGAATAAATTTAGCCTTTTGGATACTTTTGGTTATATGCACATGTGTTATGCATATACCTCCAACATGGTGTACCTCCAACATGGAGGTGAATGGAATTTTGACTTAAAAAGGTATATGTTAAAAAATTAGGTCGGTATGTGCTCTGCTCTCTCTTTGCTAGGACTTTCTGGCTGTGGGCTATGGCGAGTTGGGCTCTAGCGAGCAGAAAGCCGGCCTGGTGTGCTGCTGGTGTCTCACAAATCCTACGGTATGACTTTGTTTTATGTAGCTTCAGGCCTCCACGTCCCCACAGCAATATGCACAAGATTGACAGCCGACTATCATGTGTCCCCTGTGCAGTGGCCTGAGTGGGACGTCCAGTGTGACAGCGCTGTGACTTCCCTGGACTTCTCATCAATTAACCCCAGTCAGCTGGCTGTGGGCATGCGAGATGGCACCATTGCTGTCTACAAAGTGAACAGTCAACACAACGTCTCATGTGTCCTCAGCAGCAGGTGAGGGGAGTGTGTGTGTGTGTGTGTGTGGACGGCTCAGCTCATACATCGCGCACTGAAGGTTACCTGTGTGTGTGTTTGCAGTCAATGTCCCAACAGGCACTTAAATCCAGTGTGGCAGCTCAGATGGACCCAGCAGGAGCTGAACTTGACCGGAGACGAGATGGGAGAGTCTCTCTTTTCTGTGGCTGCAGACGGCAGGATCAGCAGATGGTTTATCTGCAGCAGTGGCCTGGACTGCACAGGTACCAAGCTGTGCACCATCGCATCTTCACCACTGTCTAGTCAGCTCACCTTGTGTAGTGTGAAAAATTCACAATGACCCAGTAACTAGAACTCCGGTTCTAGTAACCCAATCATAGGGAGAAACACTTTTCTAGCAATCGGTCTGTCTATCATCCACATATATTTAACGTAATCTATATGGTCATAGACCTGATGAAGCTCAAGAAGATCCAGCATACCAAGAAGAAGGCTGGGGGCACGAGGACGGAAAGTGTCCTGTCAGCTCTGACTCCTGGTCTGTGTTTGGACTTCCATCCAACAGTGAGTTGATCTCAACATGAATTGACTAGAATGTTGTTTGTGGGCTTTGTTTGGGATTTAAGCAGAAGAGCACACCTACTGGTAGAAATGATAATACATGCAATGATGATTAGTATTAGAATTGTAGTTTGTGTGTTATTAGATACTAGTTAATGGAAATATGAATCAAACACAATTTATAATAATGTAAGTAATGTATTTACTGTACATACTGCCACAAGGTAACTTTAAAACCTGGGGGAAGAGTCTTAAGCCTCCCCTGATGGATTTCTTCCACCTTTTCTCCCCTAAGGGTTTTTCTCCTTGTTGTGTATGAGCAAAGGATGTATGACAGCCCTGCGAGGCAAATATTTTGATTTTGGACGATATAAAAACAGATTCGATCTGACCGTCAGACGTAGCCAGGGTAGAGAATCATAAATACCTTGGAGCAGAAAGGAATGTTGCAGAGGCCAATTTATAGCCAATCACACAATCACAACACACCCTAGAAGTTTTTGAAGACATGAGAAGGACTGTTAGAATGCTGCTGGAGCCATGTGTATAGGTCGCTTTAGACTTGGACCAGGGGACTTCTTCTATTTTGCAAAATACTATACTATTCATACGATATTTCACTTTGTAGTTGTATTGCTTCTGTTAGTTATTAAGGTCTGGCCTTTGTCTCAGAAGGGGCGATGGTAACAGGAGCATTCTACAGCTTCAACCTGTTTCTGTAGACCATTAACATCTTCACAGATATATTTTGTGCTAATTTACTGTTGACCCCCAGTAAACAATTTAAGTGAGGTTTGATCTTTTGATCTGTTTGTTTCTCCAGGATTCCAGTGTCTACTTGGTTGGAACGTGGGAAGGGCTCATTCACAAGTGCTCCTGTTCCAACAATGAGCAGTTTCTGGAGACTTACAGGAAGCACTTTGTAAGTCCTTTAGGATACACATCAGCAGTCCTTCTGTTGAGCAAGTAGAACACAAAAGATCCCTGATACTTGTCGGTTTACCCTAAAATGCAGTAGGATGTTGTACTTGTAATGGATATTGCTACTTTTGCTTCCCATTCGTTTGCAGGTGTGTCAATTAGGAGTTAGCCGCGTTGTTGAAGATTTATTCACATGTTCACAGCGGACATGCGTTCCACAAGCTTGGGTGGGACAATGGCAAGGAATAGACATTAGTTAGTTTATTTATCAAAGCTCTTGATCGTTACCTCATCTGGAAATATCCAATTGGCCTTTAATGGCAAATCATTGGTGTATCGGTAAACAAATATGGAGTCAGGTCTCAATACAAATACTTATTTATGATTTACAATTTTACAAAAGTAGTTATGAAACACATTGTAAACAAAATCCCCAGATAAAAAAGTCAAATTCTCAAATATATTTGTGATGCACATAGAAATGTGTTTTGTTACAAATTACTGAGATCCTGAGATTTTCATCAAAAACATATTTGGATGATGTTGCATTCATATCAAAGTGCTTATAATAGGTTACATCAACAGTAAAAATAATAATTCCATATAAGCATCTCTTTAACTTATATAGAAGGAATCTCCTCTGGGTTAAACAATAATGATCAAGATGTCGCCCCTCAGTGTCCTGTGAACAGCATCAAATGGAGTCCGCTCAGTCCTGGTGTGTTTCTGAGCTGCTCCTCCGACTGGACCATCCAGCTGTGGCAGCAGGACCACCAGAATCCCGTGATGGGCTTCAGCTCCACCCAGACAGCAGTGTGTGCCGTCGATTGGTCCCCCAAGTGGCCCACAGTGTTCGGAGCCATTCACGAGGGACAGCTGGAGATCTGGGATCTGAGTTCAAGCATGTGAGTGTTTGGGATTTTCTTTCTCTGATGTGAAACGTGTGCCAAGCTAATCCTTCTGGTCCTTCATACCCTCTCCAGCTTAGACCCGGTCCTTGTGCAGCCTGCCGCTGCTGGCGTGCAGATGAAGTCCCTGCTGTTTGCCACACAGACAGACTGTGTCCTGGTAGGAGACAGCGATGGACAAGTGACCGTCTACCAGCTGAAGAACCTCCGCGCGGGAGGGAGCAGCCAGGTGAAGCTGAATGACAAGAGTGTTGAGTCGAAAGATTCATAGAAAAAAGAATAATTCAAAAATGTAATCAGTGGATTATGATTAGATGTGTGTCCACAGCACCAGATGGCCTGTTGTAGTTATTTACATCTACAGTTATGAGTGAAATATGTTTTCTTTCTCTTCACATTACTGATTTACAGATATAATTGTCTTCTAAAACAGCATTTCCCTTGAAAGCAGATTTGGCCAATAGACATGAAATCTAGACTACTGTCGGATATATTAATAATGAAATGACCTGTGCTGTATTTTATTACGTCTACTGTTGTAGTCCTTCCAGGGGAAGTATATATTTTCCTCTCAGCTCATATTATCTAAAGAGGAGAAGATTAGACATTATTGTAACTGATATATTTATAATGTTAATACAATCCATGATTCATTTACTCAAGTAACAGAGTTTGTAATCTCCCGCCACAATGTCAGATGTCTCAGTGTACTACTGTGTACATCTGAATGCTCTCTGATGCTTCCTCACTAAAAGATGGTATTTGATGGTTTAACCAGACTGACAAGTGAAAGAGACAAAAATCTTCGTCACATCAGGCAAATAAGAGAAGTAGTCATTGGTCAAAGAAACTGGAAGTTTAGAGTTAAATCTGAACAGTTTCACAATACAAGTAGGCTGAAAAAAGCTGGAATTGAAGTTAAGCAAAGCACTTCACAATATAAACAGCGTAAAGCAAATATCACAGGTTCTACAGATTTGAACTAATATTTGCACTTCAACAATGAAACAAATCCAATGTCAAGTTTGCTGTAATCTCTCGTGTAACACTGCGGGTACGTTTTCATTTCATTTCAGAGAACAATAAAAATCACTATTGACTGTAAACCTGGGCTGTCATTGACACACTGATGTCTCTGTCACTCTCCTCAGTGGACATGACAAAGAACCCACAGCGTCCCTCTTGTCTTTCAGGTGGATCTTCTGGAGGGCCTCATCTGCTCTGCATCTCAAAACAGTTTTAAGAAATATACACAGATGTAAAGTGAAACCATTTTTCTGTCGGCAGCATGTCCACATGTATTAGCAACACAGGGGCATTTGCTATAGCTAATTACTGTATATTGTAATTTCCTGTTGGAGGCTTCAGACTAAACCTAATGTTCCAGATGTTTGCAATTCAACCTTCAATTATTCTGCAAAAGAAGGATGAGTATTCTTTAATAAAGCATGTGCAGGTGGAGACACCTTGTGACCACGTTTAGAATGACAGAAGAATCTTATTCCTCTCCCCAGTTCGGAAACTTCATGCTCATACAAAAGTCCAGAAGTGCAGTCTTATTTCTTCTCTTGAATAAAAGACGTAATGGATGGAGCTGAATTGATGTTTTCTTTTCACCTTGTGTATATTTATATGAAATAGCAAGCTACCTGGACTCCCTCCTTTATATAAATCAAGAGTGTTCTCCCATAGCACTTCTACATTCAAATGAAATGACTGTTTTTGATTATTTATTTCTTTGGAGGGGGGTGATATGTTTTAATTGTTATCTAGTGGTGGGAAAACAGCAAGTTTTAACCAAACCTACACTCTTGATCTCAACATCTCCCAGCTGACTGAAAGTGGGTGGAGCCATTTCTGTTACATTGCAATATCAACTTGTGAAAAAAGTACTTCTTCCACTGCAAATTCGCTGATAGCATCTTCCGTTTTTAGAATCAGAGCTTTCTATCATGTGGGAAGTGAATCATGACGGTAACTGTAAAAGCATCCACCTTCTATTTCAAGAGAGGCATTGAAACAAGAACACAAAAATGTACTTATCAAACAAGGATGGAGTCTTTGCCGTGTTGTCCCAAACCTTTTATTGCAGCAAAAGATAATTTACAGAAAACTGACATTTCAACTCCCCACAATGCATCAGTACTTCACAATAATTTAAACGCCATCAGTATTCGACCTGCACACAACACTGAGGCAGTGGTTAACCAACAGCTGGGTTTCCTCACACAACTATGGAGCTTTATTCCCTGCAGCTCTTCCACAGCACAGCAGACACTACGTCAACAAGTGTCCCTCTTTGTGTCCACGTCACGGTCACAAATGAAAAAGATCCAACTCGGTTTCATCGTGCTGCTGCAGTCAGGTCGCTCTGCGGCTTTATTTTATTGCTCTTCTTTTATTGGAGGATTAAAAAGTCTCCTGAAGAGGTCTGTCAGACAGTTTATGGCTTTGAGAAAGATTTCAACGTACTTTTTTTTTTAAAATGTGACTTTTAAAAATCTAGAAGCTCTCTTGGGAAAGACTGTTCTCTTTAATGTTAAAAAGGTTTTACAGTTCACATTGACTCACAAAGTGCACAGAAGTAGAAAAGAGCGGCTAATGCATGAGACACCCTACAAAAACCTTCACTGCACACCGTGAAAACCACGTGGTAGTTAATAAATGTCAGCACTAGAACCACACAAAGGGTCTATGACACCAAATAAAAGAATACAAAAGAGGTATGTGTTACGTGAGCTCCTTTCTTCCTAGTAGTAGTGTTGGGATTAATCCTAAAACATCTACAGGTTGTTTAGTGTCCCAACAGGAATGTGAGCATTCCCTTCAAAATAAGATGCACAACAGTCTCATTTAGTTCTTATTTTCATAATTTTAGGAATGGAATGATCTGGTCTCTGATAAAGGGGCCCTCAGGGGCCTGGGGCCCCGCTACCAAGCATCACTGATTGAAATACACACAAAGCCTAATTCTGATTATGTTACTAAGGAAATGTGTCAACAACAACAACTTCCCTTTAACAACTCACTCATGATAAAAACAAATATGTCAGATCATTTAACTCTTTGTCAGCTACAGGAAACTCACAAGAAGACACCTGATCCATTTAGGAAAGGAGGTGGAATCTGGATCACACCGGGTCTAAATGCTTGAGGGTTACTATCCTGTCTGAGTCCGGCTGTTAGGCCACATCCGTGTGTAGCTGGTGTATTTCAAAAGAAATAACAATCTTTGTACCACAATGTGACAGCTTTGCACCATTCATGATGTCCTAATTTACATCACAGTTTAAACTCAGAGCTTAATTAAAGTTACAACTCTATTTTAAAAGAGGACTTGATAGGAAAGATTGAAGAGCCCAGAATTGAACACAAACACACAGAGGTAAACGGTAGCTGGAGAACAAACATGAAGGAAAAAGTTCAACAATCTCAAAAAGTACATCATGAATTTAGGGCTCGCTGAGAGGGTTCATTAGTAGAACACACCAGAACATGGGCATCATGGGGAACACACACGCTCACACACACTCTGGTTTCACATGCAAGCATACGGCTCATACGGAGTGGTAAAGGAACTGGCTGGGTGAGAGATCACAACAGCTTTGCATAGAATCTACAACACTGCGGCCACAACTAAACACAGCTGAAGGAGATGTACATGCACTGCAATTGAGTAGTAATCAAACTAAAAATGAATTTTCTGCTAAGTCAGACATTTTATTATCAGATCCATCAAGCCGATTTCTTTTCAGCAGGAGGGAGACACACTGCAGTGTAGCCACCCAGCTAAGTTCAGCATCTGTGAAGCTTCTGACCCAACCAAGTCACCTCCTGGCTCAGCCACGCACGTTGGCCGAGAGTTTGCTAAGCAACACAAATGGGTTCCAGGAAGCCTTCAAAAGACTTCAAAATGAAGTTCACATCGGGTTTAATGTTACAACTCTTTCAGATAAGGTAAACTAGCTGAAAGTAGAGCACATAGTTCATGCTCACCTTCTGGCCACAGTCACACAGAACTACATCACCCGAACATAATGGGAATGGGTGTCCTACTTAAAAGAAGAAAAAAAAAAACAACGAATGGGAACCAAGGGATAACAAGAAGGGTAAAACAGGAGTACCGTAGAAGAAAATAATTCATCCACTATCTCACATTGACACCAAACAGAACATGTGAAGGGGGAGACAGGGGGTGAGAGTATTGTCATCAACACTCAATTCATTTTTCCATGGAGGTGGAGAGGTGCATCATTGCTCTCTAAGCACGCCCAAATGGTGCTGGTGCAAGGTCTGCGGGTCCCTGCTCAGTCACCATGACAACAGGGGCAGCCTTTACGTTTCTGTGGAAAGCACATACAGGATGTTTAGTCTTCACGCGGGATGGATCATATTTTAGGATAACGTTTGCCATTTTTATAGGTTGCACACCCCGATGAGCGGCTCGGCTGTGACTGGGTCCATGGGGAGTGGAAAGCCCTTGTACCATCCATACTTCATAGAGTAAGGAGGTTACCATGGGGTTTACTACTGAGCAACAGTGTCAAGATGCAGTGTGTGTGTGTGTGTGTGTGTGTGTGTGTGTGTGCACGTGCGTACGTGAGGTCTCAACAAGAACAGACAGTGTTTCTTGGAGACTGCTGTTGTGGTCATGCAGTTACCTTTTATTACAGCCCTCATTGCTAAACCAGGATAAAATAGAACCTTTAAGGTCCACATAAAAACACCAATTCCAAATGTTAGGATTCTTCATTGACAGGATAAGATGAATTAAAACAAGGTTTACCTGTGGGGTGATCCTGATTCTGTTCATTGGTCTCCACAAACTCTGCTGCTGCAAAGAGAAATAACCAGAAGATGATGGTCATCATGATGATCATAACATCATCTCAAAAAGCTTTCGCCCTCATTACATATCGCTGGTACAAGACTTTACACGTCTGAGTGTGTATTCACCTTCTTCTGCTGCCACCACGTCTTCGTGTTCTACTTCATCGGTCTCTGGGGCTGTGGAACAAGAAACATTTGTAACAGTCAACCCAATCTGTGTCCTCAAAGAACATAGGAAGCGCGTTCACTTAATAGGCCACCTATAGCCCTGATAAATGGGCCATGTGTGTCCTGATGGTTCGGTTGTCAGTACGAGTTGGTTGATGACAACCTCTGCATCGGGCAGGAGCCTACGCGCCATGTGGACCACTGAATGGTTGCAGTAGACAGGGACGGTCAGATAAGATTTCCACATCAGTCCTAAACTAAACTGGTACCCAGAGACCGACATCATCATTTTCTGAGTCATCACAGCAAACTGCCTGCACACACCAGGGTTTACAATGTCTTTGGGTTTACCCTTTCAGATATTAACACAGTAAGTGGTTTTCCTGAAGAGTATTTGTAGCACTTATAGCGGTTAAAGTAAGCACAAATACAGGAAACTGACAGCCTGGCTAAAATGGTTACAAAACCTAGCAACTCAAGTACCCCTCCATTGACATACAACAAATAATGTAGTAATCCAGGAAGTAAGACATCCCTCTTTAGTAATAGTTTGCAGCCAGTCCTAGTTGCTGGCTGAAGTACTCTACTCATTTTGTATTGCACTTGTAGTGGGAAAAACAGGACTAAGACCCACACAGCGGAGTTAGAGCTCCTGTGCTTCCCGTCCATGCGATATACTTCCTTGTCATGCTAGTGGCCACTAGCCAAGATGAGGAGTGAGCTTAAGAGGTCCACTGAACTCAACCCCACATTACATTCGTTGAGGCAATTAATCTGACTTTATCGTATGTGAAGTTCCTCTTGAATATTGACTGCTCTGAGCAAGATGCTGGGACTATTCATTTAGGACAAAGGTTGAGAGCAATAGCACCAGATAAATCTGGTATAGCTGGCCTTTGTTCTTCCATTCTTACCTGAGACTGTTTGCTCCTCCTCCTCCTCTGCTATGTCTGCGGCCTCCTCTACAGCTTCTTCTGTTGGAGCAGCCTCCTCCTCCTCAGCTTCTTCAAAAGGTGTGCCCTCCTCCTCCTCCTCAGCTACATCCTCCACAGCTTCTTCTGTTGGAGCTGCCTCCTCCTCCTCAGCTTCTTCAAAAGGTGTGGCCTCCTCCTCCTCCTCCTCAGCTACATCCTCCACAGCTTCTTCTGTTGGAGCTGCCTCCTCCTCCTCCTCCTCCTCAGCTTCTTCAAAAGGTGTGGCCTCCTCTTCTTCGGCTATATCCTCAACAGCTTCTTCTGTTGGAGCTGCCTCCTCTAGATGACTTGCTTCTTCTTCCGCAGCAGCTTCTTCCTCTTCAGCAGGATCCTCAATAGATTCTTCTATCGTCTCAGCAGCTTCCTCTTCTGTAGTGGCTTCGTGCACAGGCTCATGTGCAGCCTCTTCCAAGGTCTCCTCGACTGCAGCCTCCATCTCTGCTGCAAGTTCCTCTACAGCCTCATATACAGCCTCCTGCTCCTCCGCCACTTCCTGCTCCTCTACGGCCTCCTCCTCCGCCACTTCCTCCTCCTCTACGGCCTCCTCCTCCTCCACAGCCGCTTCCTCCTCCTCCTCCGCCGCTTCCTCCTCCTCTACAGCTTCCTCCTCCTCCTCCTCCACGGCCTCCACCTCCTCCACAGCAGCCTCCTCCTCCTCCACGGCCTCCACCTCCTCCACAGCAGCCTCCTCCTCCTCCACGGCCGGCCCTGTTGCAGTCTCCTCCTTGAATGCTGCCTCCGTCTCCACAGGCTGCTCTTCGATTGTTTCTTCAACCTCCTCAACAGCCTGTAAAAACATGACATTGTAAGCAGCAGACTGGCTTCAGATGCCTTGTTATGTGTGTAACTACTGTGCTGGTGTACAGCCTGGTACGTGAACCATGCTGCGCTTTCATTATGTGATTTTTAAAAAAAAAGGTGCATTAGAGGAACTTTAATAGAAATGTTTTTAAACTCCGTAACACTATCGTGCTTACTACTAGTATATTAAAATATATAATTTAACTAGAGATGCCCCCCTATAGACAGTTCTAGTTGTGAACCGATAACACAGTATTACATACCCAGAGCATGGGTGCCCACAAAATATGTGGTTGAACAATGAAAATCGGTCAACCAAGACAAGGAAAACAATTGAGATTTCTAGGAAGTGAGCCTCCTCTAGATTAGTAATGCTCACTCCATTAATGTGAAAGTGTACATGCGTATTGTCCACACACTGGGCTATCATGTAGATGTGCTTTTATCCTGGTATCTCCATGTTTTTATAGGACTTTGATGGCTGTTGGGAATTTTATTTCAGTCAAAAAAAAATGTGAAGGTTCTTTTGTGAGTTATATTGATATATGTCTTCACCAGTAACATATAAACTGATTCTTACACACCAGAACACTCACAGGGGATTCCCTTTATCCTACAGAAAATAAATATTACACTTTTTTTATCATGGGTGTGCCGTTTTTGGAGCAGTGGCCAGAAAATGTTGGGCAAGAAAAGGTTAAGCCTGTAGGCTGAAAATTTCAATTGTTCCTAAAGGCCTTTAACCGTCCATATTGGTATAGATATCCACCATCGTTTCTTTCACATTAAGACCTGATGTGTTTTCAAAGTGTTCCTTAAATTTCTTCGAGCAGTGTCGTATGGATGATATTCATAAAACAAACCTGCTCCGCCTCCAGCACCTCCGGATCCTCCTCAAACACCTGAAAATCAATACTGCATTTCATCAACAGGTTCGCGCTTTGTACTTTAAAGTACAAAAGTACTTTAAACTCTATAAAAGATGCAATATAATGTGATCACAGATTATCTCATTAATCTTCCTGTGAATTAAGTTTGAGCAGAAAATGTTTCCAGAAAAAATACAGTTTTACTGAAGTTTTAGAATAGTCAGCTTCAGCTGAACCAACCTCAGGGGTCTCCACAGGCTCAGGATCTACCTCAGCCTCAGATTCTACCTCCGGCTCAGGATCGATCTCAAGCTCTAGAGGAAGAGGCAGATTGTTAGGCGTGTCTGAAACACACACACACAAACATACATACAAAGACACACACGCACGCACCTGGTGCTGGTGCAGAAGTGTCCTCTGCTACAGCAGCTTCAATCACATCTTCCACAGGCTCAGGCTCAGGCTCAAACACAGCTGAGCAGCAAGGGGATACAGGTTACCATGTTGTACTTCGGTGAAGTTCAAAAAGCACGACGGTTATTCAATTAAGCAGGCCGACTTTGTCTGTATGTACATGATCCACTGCCAAACACATCTACTCTAATGCACTTCTATAAAAGGGGAATATCATACATTCAGTCATTGCAGCTGGAACACGGTAGCTTTGGCTTTGTGCATTTGATTCTTATCTTTAGATTTAAACTCAACTAATTCATTGAATATTGAATATTTGCAGTGGTCAGAGTATTTATTCCCACACAGACGGGTAAATGCAAACAGCAAAGTAGAACTATAAACAAGTTAAGCACAGTAGTTTTTATCATACGTACAATTACACATTTAAGTACTTCCTGCCGATTTCACAATTAATACAAATGTAGCCATATTTGTCACTGAATTAGAGAACATTTACTATTACAGATAAGATGTAGCGACATGGACCTACAACATGTACTGTGATGAGTCCATTGTGAGGGAATCTTTCACTGCGTTGGCCCTCATATCAACATTTCCCTGTGGTGAAGTGGGAGTTTACAAATTAACATGTTCGGTACCTTCGGGTGTCGGTTCAGCTTCTGGAGTCACAAATGGAGCAGCAGCTTCTTCACGACGGGTCGTGACAACCACAGCCTTCTCTTTGAGTCCTACGTGAGATGAATGCACATGTTGCTGGCAAGAGACACGCATGTGGACATTATAGGGATAGCAGATGTACACGTGTACGCTCCCCGATCATATAGAAATATCAGCCCACATTTAATGACTGAGATGTTGAAGAAGAAACATGAAGACCTACTACATAGCTAGTTCATAGATTATTGCACACATACTTGGTGCATATAATAAAGGCAATCACTGATAGTTTCCTATTAAACACCTGATCAAAGCATGGAGTTTATTTTGCAGACTGATTAGATATCTCATATTCACAATATCCTCAGATAATCAACGTGGATTAAAGTAGAATACATTTTGTTTTCAAATGGTTATGTTGGGTGCAGAAAATTAATTTGAGTTCTCCCTTGAAAAGCCTCCTTTTAAAAGTGTACATCTTCTGGTCACGCACTGAGGTGGCTCCAAAGACAGAAGAAAGGAGCTTACTGGGATCCAGAAACTTTATTGACAAGACAATTTTTAAAAACTCATTTTGTCAGAATTCATGAAGACGACAACACACTTGATAAACACCAAGTATCAAACAGTACACTTTTTGACCCCTGTAAAAAATAGTTTCCCATTACTTCCATCCTTCCCCGTATCTCAGCAGAAGCAGGGAACTCCAACCCCTCTACCAGGATTTCAATTGCTTAGTGAACAACCCAAAAGTGAGCAAATTAGCGGTTTGTCCCTCAACATGGACCCAGAAATCCGTGAACCCTCAAAGCAAAAAGTATTATGGACACAGAATAAAACTAAAACATAAGCCTTTCCATCAAAACTTCTCTTTTCGCATTAGATTTAATAACATATCTAGCTAAAATAACTTCTATGCGTTTGGGTTAAAAGCCAGTGTGCAGTATTGTATTTATTTCATCATGGCATTAATTGCCAACATGTACACCAGGACTATGCACCGAGTGTTGGTGCAAATACTAAAAAACTTTAAGAATAACAGACATTCTACAAATTCCATTTGCCAAAAATCATTTTCCATTTTGCCCATTGAGTTATACTACTAGACTACTAGATACTCAAGTCTACAAAAATGAAATTTGATGGCAGCATTCAGCATAACCCTTTGAAACGTGGAGCAGCACACACATTCTGGTCGGTACCAAATATATTTATTTATTTAAATAATTTGATACCCCGCTCCGATGTTGAAATGGCCTCCCGTGCTTACAAAAGATTCATCTACAACAGTCACACCTCATCACACCTCTTGCCTTTTCGGTCACATTTATCAGTTTTCCGGCCCTTTTTTCTTTCGTTCACTCTCCCCTCGACTTCCTCCTGGGCCTTGTTTCCTTCCCCCTCTACCTTTTTCTCAGTCTTCTTCCCTTCCTTCTCCTTGCTCTCCTCTTCCCTTTTCACATTGAGTGGTTTCGCTTTCTCCATCCTCTGTTTTTCCAGAGCCTTATCCCACTCTTCTTTTTCCATCTTCTCCTCTTCCTCTAGCAGCCTAGTGGCCACGCTTTCCTTCACTCTAGCCATTATTTCCTTCCTTCCTAGCTCCAGCTCCTTGTCCGCCTCCTCTTTGGCCAGCAGCAGCCTGACCTCAGCCAGGGCCAGCTTGGCGAGCTTCTTGGCCTCCACACGTTCGTGGATGATGGCCAGCTGCTGCTTTAGAGCCTCCCGCAGCTTCCAGGCAACCTCCTTGGTTTGAGAGCTTTCTGGGATGAATGAGCAACAACACGGTTTGACGTTTTACCACAAATTCTCCTTTATACGACAAAAACAACGTGCGAAGATTCACTCTGTTAATGGACCTCACCACATAGGCGTGTACATGCCCGACTAAATTAGAAATGGTTTCATGCCACATTTACTTATTTTATCCTTCAAATTTCAGTTTAAACTGGCACAACAGCATTCACACTGGTATTTGAAATGACCAAAATGAGGATACCTGAATCCCAGCCATGTTCAACAGAATGTAGTACGTATTAGGCCAAACCACTTTTAATCACTTCAAATCCAATGAGTAATTAATCCAGTCAAATGAAAATGTTGGATTTAAGATGTCAATGAGTTGTGTGTAGTTGAAACGTCAGCACATTAGTCCAGCCCACGGTGTAACGCAGCACTGCTTCATGCAAAAGGCAGCATGGCGATACCTCGCTCAGTTCCTCTGCTGGATGCATCTTCAGGAGTTTCATCTGACGTTGCATACAAACAAAAACACAGTCACTACGGTGGGAAACTCCTTAGTCATTGCACACATTTGTAAAGCGCCCTGGGAGGGCTGCATGAAGCCCATCGCAGCCGCCAGCTTAAGTAAGCTGCTCTGGAACAGAAGGGCACTGGTCAGCAAAGAGACAAAACTCAAAACCAGCTGTGGGGAATCTGACCCAAGCCTGTTTTTTGCCACATTGACACCAAATGAGTAATTGCAGTGATATAGTGCGGTGTGGGAGAGTTACTTAATGGTCCATTGACAGTAGCCAACCGCTCGGTGATTGGCGGTTCACTCGTGGCAGGTAAGTACAGCTCTAGATTGCTGGTTATGGGATTTGTCAGCACAGCGGAGCATTGGCTTGGAAGGTCGGACACAAACAGTGTTTGACGCACGGTCTCTGTCCGCTGGTGGCCGTGTCCCCCCCTGCAGAACACTCATCTACTGTGCCAAGTTGCAAAATGGTACACTTGTGAATGTAGTGGCGAAACGGGTTTCGGCAAATCGGACTTGCCCCTACCAAAGAAATGTAGAAAAGTTCATTTGTTTAATTCAATTTTCTAGTAACATCAGAAGTCATTTCTGTTCTGAAGTCATTGTGTTTTCCCTCCTCACAGCAACAAATGTGTATGTTCATGTACTATGCCAATGAAGACCACTCGGGAGCCTCAAATAGTTTCCAATGCTTGAACACACCATGACCAGCAAAGGCACCCTAATGGTATAATTCTAGCTGACAAAACAGTGGAGTTCCATGACCTCTGCGTTCATTTTATTTGGCTTAAAAACACAGCAAACAGTCTCTGTAGAGACTTCTACACCCTGATGTTTAGCTAGATAGTTAGTTACGTGCAGTGGCGGCTGGTGGCTTTTTTTTGCCCCGCTGATGGGGAGGGGGGGTATATAGTATAGTATATAATATAGTTATAAATATCGAATATAAAATATATATATATTAACATACATTGATTTTATATGAATATATTTATACTGTAATATATTACAACGTGTATATACACACGGATATTTTGAGATGCACCTCTGAACCTAGTTTGTCCATAATGTGCAGGCTTCTTGTACGGTCTTATCATTGTGCATTAAAACTTAAGTGTTTTAATTAAAGGACTTGTGGGGAGAGCGTCATTGAAACCGGCAGCAGGACATCACCTTCAAAGCGACTTCAAAAGGATAATTTAAAAAAATTAGGACTTTGATGGCTGTAAGGGATCTTAACTTACCAAGTGGTGGGTTTTTTTAATTACTTTCTGTTATCTCTCTTCTATTTATTTGCGAGGGGGGGGGGGGGGGGGGGCGCAACTCTTTAGTCCCAGCGTAACCTCAAAGAGGATAAATACGCGTCAGGGCACTGAAAATCCGGACGTCTGGTCACCCTCATACAAGCAGAGAAAGTCTGGCCGAGAACAGGTTGCTCTCTGCGCAGTTACTTGAATATGGTAGTATTTATATAAACCACACAAGGACGGGCAAGTCCGGACTTAAAAGCATATTAAGGAAGGGTGTAAGATTGGTGCTTTACGCCATTCGAAATCTGCCCTCTTTGCTTCCGTCTTCTGATGTAACTGAGATGCCTTCCGTATGAGAGTGAGTTTTCATTCATACACACTAGTGAGATGCTCTTAGGCGCATGAGTGAGATGCGCACAAGTGGTTCATTAGTACACGTAAGAGTGTCTCAGTTGTCAAGTCCTAAACGGCCCCTCATACGCCCCACTGCCTATGGAACAGCCGCCACTGCTGCCAATACAAAGTATTTTGGCAGAGTGATCAGATTTATTGCCCGTGGGGCAAAGAGGCCTCTCCCAAGAAATGAGTGCAAGCAGGTATGGAGCAATGCACGTCAGTCATTTTCCACCGTTTGTATATCAATAGAATTGTATCGAGTCACTCTCCACTGACAATCACTCCACCCTAAAACATGAACAGCCCGTTTCTGAACCAGGTGTCAACAGGTCTGCTTTGAACTCCATGGTGTCACGGAGACACACCCGGTGTCACGTGCACGCAACCACAGACCTGCAGTTGCTATCCGTAGTCTAAAGCTGGAGCCACGATAAACCGAATCAAACATGCCTCTTCATTATTCTAACCAGCCCACCGAAGAGCTGAACACACATCTATACTGCAGTGTATTAAACACAATACAGGGAGGTGCAGGCTATTATAATGTGCTTTACAAAAGAATGGAACTGGGCAAACATAAATTCAAAATGGATAACATTAACAATGGCGTGGTTCCATTTAGTGTGCCAGTCAGATGTTCCAGTGAAGCCGCACATGCGTTAGCTGGACCTACCTTTAGCTGCAATATAAAGATTTCTGTATGCCGTTGCTGAGCAGAGGGGTGAAATGGGACAACAATATGTAGTTTACATAGGAACCTGAAACATGGGATCCATCGCCATTGCTTAATATATACAATGATTAATTCCTAACATTTTAATGACATTTAAAGTTTTATTTCCAAGTAGTATACTCATGCCATCTGCATCTAGACACACAACTTGGATATTGACCTGATCAGAGTGCTTTGCATTGGGCTTTTGTTTATCTGTGGTCAAAAAATTGACAAACCCGTAAGCAGACTGTAAACCATTGCAGGGACACGTGAAGAGATGTGGCTCCAGATGTGGTCCAACATTTCCCATTGGAGTCCAGGTGCATTAATACCTGCCTATCTGATCGCAATACAGAATCCAACTGAGAGCAGGAAGAAAGGCGGGCCAAGACAAAAAGGAGACTGTATTTAGGCTCATAATCCCAGAGTCCAGAGATAACGCTGAGGATCAATGTGTATGGCATGAAGCAGAGACCACTGAGCAGCTGTCCAGAGTGAAAAGGCGCTTTGCATTTCCTGTTGTTGGCTGATGCCAACTGGTTTGTGAAAGAAAAAAGAATGCGGATGGATTCTTTAAAAGAGGACTTCTAAAAGTTCTCCTGAGAAGCAGGTCCATATGACAGCACAGGTATCAAATTCATAGAAAACGCTTTATATATATATAAAAAAAAAAAAAAAAAAAAAAAGCATTTCACCTCAAGGTTCCTGCTTATAAAAGGTTGAAACTTGGCTGACATTATTTGGGGACTCCAGTATGAAACCCTGGACACAATATTACACCAGATAAATCCATAACCTACAGAGTGTTACCAGAGAAGACTGTAGGAACCGTTTCCCCAACAGTGGTGCTTGGGCTGCAGGGTGTTCAGGTCTTTTGGTGGAAAATCAGTGCAGAGGGAAACAATTGGCCTTCAACAGGTAACCTGAGGCTATTGGTTATGGAGGCCGACTATGACGATCTTCTGCCCCTGACTTCCATCATAATTCTCTTCTCTTTTTCTAAACCCTTCATCATCCTCATCCTCGTCCTCTCGTGCCTCCCTGAATCCTTCTGAGGCACTGTGCTGCTCCTCTTCCAGGGACTCCAGGGGGTTTATCAGACCGTAGAGGAAAGTGAAGAAACCGTTTAACCAATCAGATCTGCCTTCCTCCACTTCGTCTAACCAATCCAGAACCTCCTGACCATCGCCCCCACTGGTCAGGCCTGCGCAAACGAGAGGGGTGGTGGAGGTGGTGGGGTAGCGGGTGGGTAAAGATTTTGAGCACAACAAAGGGATATGAAACAGTGTGGGGAAGAAAAAACTAATGAAAAAGCAGAAAGAGGCAAAAGGTGGTGTCACACGGGGAGAGGTGATGTAATGGAAGGGGGTGAAAGAGAAAGGAAAGAAACAAGAGGAGAAGGTAAGAAGTTTTAAGCGCATGTTAGGCAGCAGGGGATCGACTCAGGCTTCATCAATAGCAGCTGTGGTCAGGCTGTCTCCACATGGTGAGCAGCGTACAAGCTCATTTCAGTAAGGCAGGTGGTGGAAGTTTGAATTGATCCTGTCTGAAGCGCTCATGTTGGTGACTGATCAGATTGCCTTGAGTTTCATCCGCAAAAGAGCGGATGGCATTGAGCGACAACTGGGGTGTAAGAGTTCTTCAGAACTACAACATGTAAGCATAGATTGCTGTGTGATGATAGCATGCTAAATGCTTCCATTCGAGCAGAATAGTGAGTATTTTGATGCCGCCATGTGAACCAAGACAAACTGCAACTTATGAGAATCAGTTGTTGTCTCAATCAATATCATCTCATAGCCAGAGACAGGAAACTGCTTTATTGTGTACACAATACGAAGTGTTGGTTCTTTAAGATCATATCCAGGGCATCTTCTCGTGCCAGAGATCCATATGTTGACTCCTTCTGTTATGGTTATGGTCCAAAATGTCAGAAGTACTATACACTTATCAGTCTACTTGGAAAGTTAACCAAAAAGATTGTACTAAAGTACTAAATACTAAAATGAGTAAACTGCAACATGCAGCAGACAGCACTGATGCCAGCTGGAACTATGTGTTCTTAAAAGACGTCCCTGCTGTCTGGGAGGCTTTGAGCTTTACACAGGAGGAGAAATGTTGTAAAATCTATACCTTTGCCACATGGGACACTGGTGTCGTGTAACAATATCCAAGCATCCGTTTTTTACTGATACAATTGTCACTATGGTAACAGTCAGTGTGATAATTATCAGTCATGCAAAATAAACCCAATTGCCATTTAATGTAATTGACAAAGACAAAGCAAACTCTGTGTCCCGCAGAAATGTTCAAAATCTAATCTTAGATCAGTTGTGACTGGATCATGCACCATGTCCCCAAAAAGATGGAGACATGTAGATGTAGAAGCCTTTTGTTTTCATTTATGGTGGACACTGATAGTAAACACTCAAATTAGTAAATTAGAAACAAATCAACTTGCCTAGCAGAACTTTTGCGTCCTCGACATCAAAATCACCATCGCCATCTGTATCGTATGACTGCAGTTTTCCTACAGCGTTAACAAACACACATGGAGACTCCTCTTACTTTGTTCTCACAGGAGCTACAATACAACACCTGTTGGGAAGTGGACATTCACATGCATCATTCAACACAGATGGACACCTAAAGACATGCACCAAGCTTGTAGCAGACTGGCCTTTTGCGATCTTCAGTCTCTCATCAGTCTAAATGTTAGCATTAGTTAACAACTTTTTTAATGAGCACAATCAACTTTATGCTTGGTGAATCCCTTTAAATGTGAGAGAATTCGGGATAGAGTGAGATGAAGTGGGTAAAAACAATATTTTACGAAATAAGAGACACATTTGGTTCAGGGACATGGACGGACACCATAAAATGCTTGTAAGGAAGTGTTGGAGGTTTAGGATCAAGGATACGAAAGAGTCTGGGTTAGTATCTGCCAGCTACAGAATAACTGACCCACACAGCAGCGGAGTCACCACAAAAAATCAAGGCACGAAATTATTCACATATTCCAGCTGAACAACCAACAAAACTTTCATCATGGTAACAAGGAACATGTCATGTTGGACAAGGACAGAAAAACGTCCTCTTCAAGAAAACATTAACTAGATTACAGTACACACACACACACTTCTATTTTCAATTTGTGTGAATATTTTCTTTTTCATGACTTTTTACATACATCTGGAGATATGACTGCCATTTTTTTTAGATTTAGGGCTCCGAGAAGATCGTGCACGGGAGAGGGGAAAATATTTTGAGAACAATACGGAAATTAATACAGGGTGAGAGAGAAAAAGGCCATAGGACTTGTTTTACCTTGCAAGGCTTCAGACAGGTTAATTTGTAAGCCCTTAGCTTTGTCTGCATGCAAAGAAAAAAAAAACATACATGTTGGAACAAACTATTAAAAAATAAGGGAACAGATTCATAATTTACAAATAATTGAGTACTATACAAGGAAGAAGGTTTCACATGAATCATCGAGGGTGCAGATTAGTGGCAGAAAATATGATCAGCTGCAAAAGACTGCATGCATCCAACAGCACGGATCATTAAAGATTACATATTGTTGCAGACCACATGCTACCGACAAATGAAAACCATGATCGTATTTAGTGAGTCAAATACATGTTGATGATAAAATGGTATTGGAACAAATGGAACCACTTAACCAAGCGCAACAGCTCATTTGGCGATTTGGACTTTTAGCCGTCGTGTCTTCACTGTATTTTGTCTTGTAGACACAAGAACATATGATATGGTCCTTGTTTTCAACCAAAAATATTTTTGGAGTTCACTTTTACCATGGAAATGTTTACTATACCAAAAAAGAACAAATAAGTGGAGGTGCTGCTCTTTGTCTACTGATTTTCTTCCGTTTCCAGGAAAAACATTGCCTTATTTTCACACTGGATCAGATATTTCATTTCTACGATTCATGCCTGTCTGGGATTCAGCACTGATTGGCACAGTGGAACGTGCCTGAGTCTTGCCCGAGGACTGTTTCCCCTACCATTATAAAAATGGGGCTGAAATTACTCCCCCCTTGAAAAAGTGTGCAATTAAAAAAATGTTTTTTCAAGTTTAAATTTTATTTTTTCCCCCCCATGCAGGGCAGTTCCACACTGACATGAATATGTCGCAAATATTTCCGTGTGGCGCTTGCAGCAGCGGGGCAGAGTGACTACCCCTCCCCGGGCGGCCAAACTACTAACCCCCCCCTGAAGTTGTAAACGTAGGGGAAACACTGGGCTCTATTAAAACAGTGGTGACCTGCAATAGTATATGAGCCACGTTGATCAAGTCAGGCAACATATAAAATGCAGCTCAGCAACATATTGTCAATCTGTTAAAAATGAAGTGATGTTCTCGTGGTGTTTTTGTCTCGACTTCATTTGACTGACTCATCTGGTTCCATTGTAGAGGCTGATTTGCATTTCATTTTCATAAGTATTTGCCGGCAGATTGAACTAAATTTGTGTCAGATGGGTAATGTAATTAATGCTATTGCGATGTTCGTACTCTGACAATTGTTAATATCATGGCTCCTTTTCCAGGGACAGATGACGGGTGCATGTGATTGTGGAAAGATGACATACAAGCGTATAATGCTAAAGTACCTTTATAGTACCGCACATTTATAGCAAGGAACATGAGGTGGAGAAGACCACGAAAAGGAAAAACATTCAGGTACTCTCTAATCAAAATGTATTTGTGATGAATCGAGTACTCACCAAGAACTCCCTGGTAGTCCACCAGGTCAAAGTAGACCACGGCTACAGAGGTCCAGACACCCAACAGGGCGAGCACAATGAACCAGGTGAAGAAGCTGCCGCCGGACCCAGAGTCTGACTTCTTCCCATTCTTATTTGCCGATTGGGTTTTAGTACCATCTGCAACATAAGAAAGTGCATGACATCAGACTCACAAGTTCGCACTTTACATGCTTTTGTAGGGAACCATCTTTTTTTACACCAAAGCCACATCTTGGCTGTGTTTACCACATATGTGCTCATTAGTTTTTTGGAAGAAAAATTAAATAAAATCTGAATAAATAAAAAGCGGGCCAAATAAATCATTGTTGACCATTTGTCGACTCATTGACTTGACTAAAAGATGGCAGACTTTAAACCACAAAAGTGCTCCAGCTAGAGGATCTTAACACTACCTTTCGAATAAAGTAGTTGTGACCTTGATCTAAGAGTAGCCTATAAGGCCCCAGTATTCCGTCAGAGGTACATCCTGGGAAACAGTTCAGTTGGCATCACATTACATAACACATGTTTGTGTCCTAAAAGGGCCTCAACGGTCCCACCAGACATATTTTATGGAGCCGTTGTCATTTAGCCAAACCATGCTAGCTGGGTTAGCCACCCAATGTAGACATTGTCAGTATGGCAGAGCAAGTAGCGTTGAGGTTGGGAAAGTGTAGGTACCAGAGAATGGTCCCTACTAGGGCTGCGCGGTACGGCCAAAAATCAACATCACGGTATTAAGAAAGATTCTGACGGTATCGCAGTATGTGACGGTATTGCTATTTCAAGTAAACACATTAATTCATTGACCCCGAACGGGAACAGCTGTCCGCCAGTCGCTGGCCAACTCGCTCCCCTACTGGCCGGCGAGCTAGCTTGTTAGCTCATTAGCGTGTTAGCTTGTCGTGGCTGCTAGTTTTGCCACCAGAGGTTCGACAGACTTTGCAATAAATCGTTTCTGATCTAACGGTTGTGCCGTGGTGGAGTGTTTGTTGTGGGTTATTCATTGTCCGTATAAAGTTAGAACCATGACTCAATCTCAACACGCCTAAGACGAGTAGCTTCGACTGCTGGGCGCACCTCGATGACGTGTAAAAATAAATTCTGCCACCTCAACCGGTATGAACGGTACGTGAGATATTCATACCGTCCGTAAATCTTAAACCGGTAAGTCGTGCAGCCCTAGTCTCTAGTTTTGATTAAGCGAGTGTGATGGACAAAATTGGTTTAAATAAAGAGAAGTCTCATTAACTGGGCTTGGTTTACCGTTTGCTTTGCTTTTTCTCTCCCCAATTCTCAAGATTCATCCTTGGCTAAAAAAAAGCCCCCAGCAATAAAAGATAATAATAATAATAATTATGTGCCAGCAGGACAGATCGGACATGGACTACAAAGTACTCCAAAAAGGTTATATTTTAATAATTTGAATCTGTGGCCTCCTCACTAAACCCACATTTCTTCTGGAGAAACGGAGCGGGCGTGTTGGGAATTCCATGAATGCCGTCATCTCACAATGCATGGTGGGAAAAGATGGTCGCAGAGAGAATGAACAGGTGTTGAAGTCTGTTACACGGTGCTAGGTCAAACTCAGACACATACTCAGAGCAAGGATCAAAAATAGCATGGCATCAAAATATACGTTTACTAATGAGCACACAGTGTTCCCTCAGAATCATTACAAACTTTATTAATACCAGAGTACCATGTATTGACGAAGTTTAAGTAACAGATTACTGACTGTTAAGGTACCATGTCCTTTTAGGTACCATGAACCAGCAGGGATTCTGAAGATGGATAAAAAGACTGACATTGTCTTCATTTAGAGACTCGGAATGCATTGAAATCAACCAGTCTTATCAGTCCCCTCACTCAATCCTTAACTTTGTAACCAAACAGCCAACCAGGCCTCCCAATGACCTCCACACCCCTTTGTCCTTCTCAGCTGTCTCGTCAGTGTCTTTTGAAGCGGTTCTCACCTTGCATTTCTTCAGCTACCACCATAGGGACAGCAGAAACAAAAGTTGGGGCGGACTCGACTGCGGTTGCTGGATCACACATCCTTCCACCAGCTTCCTGGGAAAATGGTATCGCTGATCTTAACTCCTCGGTCCCTCCCTTCTCTCTGCGAACTGGCTTTCTTTCTCTTAACTCATCCGTCAGTCGATCCTTGCTCTGTCACTTTTTTCTCCGAGCCCAATATATCTCTAGGAGGTCAAACAAAGCTATTTCTAGTGCTGTTAGACCAGTTGGCCCTGACGCCCAGAGCGGAGGAGGGAGAGGCTAAAGGGCCACTGCCAGCTGTAAAGCACTGCACCGATCCCCTCCCTTATCTTGTAGATTCTAACAGCACATTCATTGCATCATGATAGAAGAAAAAACGCTGAGACAATCAACAAAAAACTAAAACAGGGTTCCGTCTGCATTTGTTTGTCATTAACCCTTCCATTCAGTTTTATAATGCACAAATTTGCTTCACTTTTACGACTGATATGATTTATTGTCAAGTTAAGAGACAAAAGCCTATCCGGAATGGACAAGTGTAAGAACAGCATCTTAATGAAATCTCACTAGAAGCCAAATACACATTTTCTGAGCATAGGTGGTGCTTTGAAATAAAGATTATACATCCAGAATATAGATTGGTTTTAGGAACAAAATCCACTACACTCATGCTATAGCTAATCTAGGCATCAAAAATGCTATTAATCCTGTATTCGTTTGACGGGGTGCTCATGTGCGCACAGCCGCACCCGGTGCAACCACATTCCCAAGAAGGTTGCACAAGGGAAGGGGGCTAGCCTGAGCAGCAGGTGAGAACAACGGCCCAGGACGTTTACGATGTTCCCCTTTAACCAATTTGGAAATGGAAATGCAAATTAAGGCTGGCCGGTATACTGGTTCAACGGCTTTTCTGCAAGCAGCAGAAATTATTTTTACACCGAGTCAGAGCATGTTGTCTTACGTGTAGAGACTGAGTCATGGTTATAACACTACTAACAGGGTATTATAGTACGGTAGATGAAATCCAGCATTCTGATTCGTTGAGTGAGGCACTGGGTGTGGCTTATTGAGCAATAATGTACAGTATCTGTTCATATTGACCCGAGCGTTCCATATCACTGCACACTCACAGGTTAGATTTTGCGCCACAAATTAGTTGACATTTCAGCTTTTTGCTCAGTGGCGATCGCCGAGAAAAGACCGGAAATCAACATGATCGCTCTCGGGCAACGCAAGCTTTTGCAACCGGGCCATTAAGGTGGACGTCATGAGCGATGTGAATGAGACCCAATGCAGTTTACATGCACGTATGTGGACTATTTTTCTCTAGGCTACTGAAATGCGATACAATGTTTGGTGGCAAATACTATTTTGTGCTGAAAGGCAGCTATTGTAGTAGCTACTTGCTATTCATAATTTCGCTGGTAACCGTATTATAAACGCAATAAAAGGTACTTGAGGCAGTACTTAATCGTCCAATAATGTAACTGTTCGGGGAGGGGTTGTCCAATGCGCAGCACGACACAGCGGTTTGTGACACAAACAATTTGTAACACTAATAATTTGACATTTATAAAATGACCCTGTCGAACTGCATGCTGGTTATAGCTTGCCCGCTATCACAACAAGAAGAAACTGCGTCACTACGTGAAAACACAGAAAAGAGTGACACATCGAGAGACCAGAGATGCAGCAACAGAACTTGTGGTAAAGGGAGGAGCTGTGTCTGAAGGTTTTGGGATTTCAAAAATCAGACAAAAAGTTAAATCAGAAAACGATTTATTGCAATGTTGATCAGGCTGCTGGTATTTCCTCTGGTGGCAACACTGGCAGCCACAACCGCAAACAGTGGTGAATATCTGTTCAGGTCCTTTTGGAGAGTGTGAAAAAACATCCCTAATGCAAATACAATGTTTTGACATTTGTTTGTGAAAATGACATGAATTGATGAATTACTCATGCTAATTAGAGTTCCAAAATTCCAGTAATACGTTTTCATGGGAATAAAGGAACAACCTGTCAGAGCAGTTTCCCCAGAGTCTTATGCAAGAGCTGCTGTGCACAGCTTTAAACTAAACTTCTATTCGGCTCTCAACAAGTGTGCATGGTCATGGATCAGAATCCCATGGCACCCCACGGTGCCATAGTTACTAGGGCTGTCAAAAAAACATTCAAATATATTAGAATTTCTGGTTGTGCATTAGGCACGTCAATAACACAGGGCTCTCAACTTTAAGAACCCTTGGAGTGACATTTTGTCGGGGGTGGAGGGGGGAGAGTAACTACCACGGCTTGAAATTGGATGTGTGGCAGGAGTGCGTGACTAGAGACCGAAATTAGTGACTGTCACGCCCAATGCGTCACACAAATTAATACGACGGGACATAACTACTTGTATAGGTAATTTATTTAAGTTTAAACATATTTAACAACATACTACCTACACAAAAAATAACTAATGGCCAAGACCGCAGATATCTCTCTCACACACACACACACACGCACACACACGAGCGCGCGCGCGCATAGCAACAATAAACAAATGCTGAGTGCTGAGCAAGAGTTTTGCGCAAGCAATTTTAGGTCACGATTCTTGACCCAAATATGGCAGGCTTCATTCAGTGGTTGAAACACATATTATTAACATTAATTGAAGTTTTACCGTACCGACATTGAACGCTCCGAGCGAGCTGTGCTGTGGTAAACATGGAACCTTTCCTTGGCATGAAACGGAAAATAATCAAACCAGTGCATGAAGCTGTTGTAGCCGTTCTAGTCTATTTTATTCATGCAATATACAGCCAGGCGCTCGCCCACCCGCAAGGCAGACAGTCGTGCCGCTGTTGTGTTTTTTCTTTTTTTTTACATCCGAATTGTTGTTTTTAACAACTATTCGAATATATATCCGAATTGTTGTTTTTAACAACTATTCGAATATATATCCGAATGTAGAATATTCGTTGACAGCCCTCATTAATAGAGCACAAATATTCCATTATTTATGGATGATTCATTTCCCACAGTGACTATGTGCGATTTTTGTCTAGGAGTCCATCTCAGTTTTTCTATCATCTTATCTAAATCATACAACACGGTTTAAATACGGGTAAATACGAAAACTATATCAGCCAACCTAGAGCTCATCAGAAAGCTCCCTGTTGCTGATTGGTTTGGATCAATCAAAAGGCAGACAGAACAATGCCGCACGGAGCTAAAAGGTGTGGAGAGTTTTCTATCTAAATCAGGGGTCTCAAACTCAAGTCAGGTACGGGCCAGATGCAGCCCACCTCGACCGAACGCGGGCCAGACCATTATGGCCGACGGGGGGGATGACACTGACGGTCCGACCGGCGAACGGAACGGTCGGCGCTGGGGTGGAGGTTGTAAGTGGCTGCTAACAGCGAGGTTGCTACAATATAGAACTCGCGGGCCGCACTAACATTACACTTTCATATGAAGGCGGGGGCCACAAAATATCATCCCGAGGGCCGCAATAGGCCCGCGGGCCGCGAGTTTGAGACCCCTGATCTAAATGATTTAGATAAGAACATGCTCTGCACATGCAAAGAACACAACACAGCATGACATGTTAGTCAAGGCTTTTCACCCTTACAGCTGCGCATACTTCAGCACCTCCCAGCCATTTGGAGGAGTCCACAGGGCTGAGGGATTGAAATGATACATGTAAAAAAAAATTTTTTAAAAAGCAAAAACAATGCATGACAAAAGAGAAACGTACATGGACAAAGATTGGACTGGAGTTGACTGCAAATTTATCAGCCAAAGTCCACCGTTGATGAATTCTACCCTGCCGTATGTATTGTCACAGATCCATGATTCATTCAACTAGAAGATCACGTTGAGGTTGTTCAGACTGGGCGCCGCTAAGCTGTAACAACAAGGTTAACAACACCTGGAATGCAATTTAATGTTTATATATCAAGCTTGACTAGCAGTGCCAAAAGCAATAGTTGATAAGCCACACATTGTTTGAGAATATGCGGCATCGCAAACGAATACAAACTGACAGGTGCCTTCCTAGCACGCTCACATCCTGTCGGCATTTCAAAGCTGCTGAATCATGTATCAGTCTCTCAATGAGGCAACTAACTGTCAATATACAGCCTTGTGAATATGGCAGTTTGTTGGCATTTTTTCTGCCAATACTGCAAAAATCCAAAACTATCCCAAAATACTTTTCCTCCACTTATTTTTATTTTTAAAATAAATATACAACAAATATTCATGACAAAACATTCTTTTTCAGGTTCACGTTTGTTTTTCAAAATGATCATAACTTCTGGCCTGGATTTGGCTCCACAGCCTGCTTCTCACCGACCCGCTCTCAGTACACCAGGGAGCCATTGGAAGATTTGGGCATGGCGGCAGTTTGTCCTGTTGGCCTAAACCAAGCTCTTCTCACCAGACCTCGTTGTGTACGTCTAGGAAGAGGACGCGTGGAGACAGACGGACAACGGGTGGACTCTTATGCCAACTCAGCCAGAGCTCTAGCCCATCCCGTATGGGGTCCCGGTACCAATGGAGACGCCCACAGCCACGTCTATCTCCACCCACGGCTGATCATTGACACGTGCGCATTTGGAGGAGTGACTCGACCAGTGTGGGGGCGGGGTGCTCTACGCCCCGGGGTGCACACATGACCTGGCTCTGCTGGTACAAGCCGTTGTAACTACCAGACAGGCCTCCATTATGGACCGAGTTATGACACAAAACCCTCACGAGAGCACGCTTCAGCAGAGCGCGAGCCGGCCTTCCACATGAGCCAAACAGCAACGCTTCTGCAGCGTCCTTCGAATACAGATACGTATAGCGAGCCAAATGCATCATAACCACTGGAACTCACTGCACGCCGCTTTAAAGCAACTGATGTAACATGTGCGACGTTACAATGATGACGTGGTAAAACACTAAGAAGGAAAGGCTAAAAGTAGCAGTGGTAACCCCGCTTAAGTCGCTCACGGTTACACCGTGCAAACCCACTCGCACGAAGCCACTAACGTCAACGGCATCTCTGATGCTAAAGCACGCTAGCACGTCGGGGCCGAGCCCGGATGAAGGAGCAGCTTTACACCAGATTAACTCGGAAAGGCCTGCCAGTGTAAGCTAGAGGCTGCAACGCATCACCCCACCACAGACAGCCTCGATAGAACGGCACAGAA